ATAAATTATTAAAAGAGAAACAATTATTTATAATCTTCTTAATTAATTCTAACGATTCTTTATTTTTCAGGTCCTGGGCAAAGGCAGTTTTGGCAAGGTGCTGCTAGCAGAACTCCGCGGGACCGAGTGCGTCTACGCAGTTAAGTGCCTGAAAAAAGACGTGGTGCTGGAGGACGACGATGTCGAGTGTACTTTAATCGAGAGAAAAGTCCTGACCCTGGCAACGAGGCATCCATACCTCTGTCATCTATTCTGCACGTTCCAAACGGATTCCCATTTGTTCTTCGTAATGGAGTACTTGAACGGTGGCGACCTCATGTTTCACATACAGAAATCGGGCCGGTTTCCGGAGGCTCGTGCTCGGTTCTATGCTGCTGAGATCTGGTCCGGCTTGATTTTTCTACATAAGAAAGGAATTGTGTACAGGGACTTGAAACTGGACAACGTTTTACTAGACTTTGAAGGTCACATTAGGATAGCGGATTTTGGTATGTGCAAGCTGCAGATTTTCCTCGACAGGACTGCTGATTCGTTCTGTGGAACGCCTGACTACATGGCCCCTGAGGTAAGGAGCTCAATTATCAGTGATAATAATTAATCATTAATTAATGTTACATATTAAAAATGATTATAAAAATCGTTGCACTGTAACGTCTCGTAAATCATTTGAATAGCCACATTCATTATACGTTTTAAATTATTAGAATTATGTAATAAAGAAGATGGAAAACAAAGTGTAACACATTTCTTGAATAAGCAAATTTGTTGGACCGTTGGTGACGATGGCGTCGGGCCATTTCCGCATTGCAGATCATAAAGGGACTGAAATACAATCAGGCTGTCGACTGGTGGTCGTACGGCGTGCTTCTCTACGAGATGCTCACGGGACAGTCGCCGTTCTCCGGCTGCGACGAGGAGGAGCTATTTTGGAGTATATGCAACGAGAGACCGTTCATACCCCGTTACCTGGGACAAGAGGCCACCGACATTCTGGTAGCCCTGTTGGAAAAGGATTCCGGGAAGAGGCTGCCCGGCCACGAAATCGCCGTCCACTCCTTCTTCCATGTAATTCATTAAAAATCTAGTCAATCACGTTCATCTCTTGTTTCCTTTCATTATTTAATCAATGTCAAGTAGTAAAAATACATAAATCTATTTTCATAAAATTCTATAATTTAATAGATTAATAATAATAATAATTGTGATCGTTGCAGCAAATACAGTGGGACAGACTGGAGAGGAGAACACTGGATCCTCCGTTCAAACCAGCCCTCGAACACACGTTGGACACGAAGTATTTCGACACAGCGTTCACAGCTGAAAGGCCGCGGTTGACGCCAGTGCCGGACCAGATCCTCACCTCAATGGACCAGGGCGTCTTCCGTGGTTTCTCCTACACGAATCCGAACGCGACAGACTGAACGAGTCGAATTAAAGAAAGAACTTAAATGTGATTCTCGAGCGTGAACGTTGCTCAACGTGATTTTACTCAGAACGTTAACGCTTCTCGAATTTGATCTTCTTGTACAGCTCGGACGGTCCTGGGGATCCTGAGGGTGTCCGAGGAGACGAAGATTGAGTCTCTTGTTAAAGAGACGATGTTCCTGAACCGCTACCGGCGATAGATGCTAGGTTTTGTATAACGTAGAGGCCGCGTTGTGTCGATAGAACAGTTAGATCAGGGTTCCCGGTAAATCAAGGGAAACCCTGTGTATACTCCTCCTTTTTTTAAGCACTCTCTCTCTCTCCGTTTTCTCGGAGACGAACACTAACAGGAAAGGAATTTTCACGGACGAGATAAAACGCACGAATACACGATTTATAAGATATACAGTAGTCTCTGAATATATTGCCAAGTCCACATATCCTGAGACTATTGTAATTAACCACGGACACTTCACTGCATTGTGTCTAAGTGTACGTGGTTATTTATTGTATATGGTTAACCGTATTTATTATTTATTTATTAAAGAAAATTTGCTCTGGATAAATTATAAGCGTAAAAAAAAAAATAAAGTTGGTTGAAAGCATAAGAACGTTTATTCATTATAATTAATCTCCTAAATAAATGATTTAAAATAGAAGTGTTTGAACTCGTTTAATCTTCTCTGGTGATCAGAGGACTGAACGGTGTTGCGGTGGACTGTACGGTAATTGCACATTTCTCATTTTGTTCCAAACGTCTAGCGTTTCGCCGCGGTCAGGTTTATTAATACCACCGAGTGGCTCATTACATCGGACCCGACCGTCTTCCACCCGCATTCTTTTTTTCCCAAAGCGTATAAGCCTTTCGAGGTTTCCGAAGCGAGGACAGTTCACCGACCAGGATATTTTACGATCACTTCTAAGATTCGTGTGACGCGAATTCGAAGGCCATCATGCAGTCTCTGTATATCGACTAGTTTAGGTCTCAGTGTTACTTTAAATACCAGCGCTGGAGATTCGCAACGTCTAGTTTTATTCAAAGCTGTTGTAGAACTGCGCTTTGAACTGACACAGTTAACTCCGTGCCGATGAATATCGACATCTCCTATCTCCTATTCGTTGTAGAATAAAAAAATTCCCTCGGACTTGCTGTTACTTCTTCCTACAGGAGTGCACACTCCAGTTAGGATAGAACTCGATGCGGGTCACACACTTGGCTCCTCTTAGACAGTGGCTAACTTTAGCACGTCGTGGAATTGGCAGAGCCAGTTGCAAGCCGTTTGGAAAAAACAACTTGTATAATAAATTGCAAAATATATTGTCATAAAAATGTAGAATTGCTGGCTAAAATAATTTCTATTAAATTAAATAGAGAATGGAAAATCTGACGTCTGTTTAATTATGAATAAAACGTAGAAGAGACTATTTCGGTACCGTTTAAGAGCGTCTGGGCTGTGAAGATTAATTGCACGTTCCGGCCGATAATTAATTGAAAAAGGAAGAAAATCGTAGGGAGATACGGAAGGTGCAACGGACGAGAGTTCCGCGAAGCGGCGATCGAATCATCTGAGGGGCAGCAGGGTGGGAACCGAGAGGCTAAACAGCCACGGGAAATTGAAGCGAGGATAGATTTAAAGATACGAAGAGTGAGAGAGAGAGAGAGAGAGAGACGCGGCAAAAACCGAGCGGGGATCGGTCAATGGACCCTGAATCCGCGGTTTCTTGCGCTCGCTCCTCGCTCTTTAACCCGGCTATTAAAAACGATTCGTAACAATTGACTTCGATGCAATTTCCAACGCCTGCGATTGACCCCAGTAGAATCTTAAGCTTAACAGGTGATACGAAGAACAAAATGAAAATTGTTCAATTTTAAAAGATCGAAATTTATTCTGAATTGGAATTCTGATTTAATGCAAAAATTGGGGTGAATAATTTTTAAGAAATTAATGTTTGGAACGTAAAAGAAATAAGGTTTAATTAGAGTTGAGGATGAAATGATTAATTGAAACGGATAATGCGAGGCGAGTGTACCCGGTAGGAGTGATTCGCTTTTGACGCGGCGGACGTGTCGTCGACTAAAAATATATAAGGACACCGGCCGTGAAATCGGGGCGGGGCGGCCACCCCGCTTGAAAAACCGAGGTGTACCAAAAGGAATGATCGACTTTACGACGCACGAGGGAACACGGACACCGCATCGAGTCTTTTAACGAGGAGTGCAGACATACACCGTCGTTCATAAGTTCTAAAATCTCTACAATAATCTAATTAATGAAACCCTTATTAGAATTGTAAATTCAACACGTTTC